ACTTTTTCAGCAAAAGACACAAAACTGGTTACAAAGGCTCCGATATCAACCACATTTCCAAGCTATTATTACTTAATTGTCCTCGTCGTCTTCAGATAAGTCCATACCTTCCACAAAAGTCATAAAGGGCCTGCATATATTTTCAAATAAATCACCTTTTCCTTTTAGGAGATATGTAAAGTTGTCAACATCTTCCAGAAAAGTGCAATGACACGTTTAGATTGTAACAGACGTATACCGATCAATAACTGTTCACATTTGGTATATTTTATATATTTGGGATATAAACCCAGAATGAAAAAAACAGGATCCAGAGGAATTTCTTTTGAAACAAGTTGTTCTATAGTTTGCTCTACTTCTCTCCAAAAAATCCTAACTGCCCTGCGTCTGAAGCCTCTTTATTCGGATCAAACCTAAACCTTTCTGTTTTTCTACAGGTGCCCTGAAGGCCAAATAAAGGTAAAAGAAGGAAGTCTGACCGGTGACGTCGTCTGTAGCAGTGCACACAGGAGCCGTCCTGGGATAGCTGGGGCTTTTACCGTATTTGGTCTAATGGTTATTGGCGTTTTAATAAAAGGTCTGTGGCAGTTTTAACCAACTCACTCATTTCACTTGAATGCATTTAACAGAATAACACTTTAAAAGCATTTTTTTTTTATTAATCACTGCTTCATTTACCTGAAACAAACCTCTTTTTCTTTCAATATTTCAGGTCAAATTGCAAAAAAATGTTGGCACGGTCCAGAAAACCTTCAATGACTTTTTTGAAAATTTCCAAAGCACATTTTTATGTTTTTATGAGGAGTTTGATGCAAATCCGTCAGCAGAAACAGCAGAAACTGCGAATAACGGGCTGATGACGGCGACAGGAAACGGGTCAGACTCAGAACTGTCTCAGAGTTGTCGGTCCTAAGCCCTCAGACAGGAAACACTGCTACAGCACGGAGACTTTGTGGTTACACTTCGAGTTTTAAAGGAAATCCAGGTACAAAATAGTTCGATTGAAGAAAAAAAAAAACACAAAAAAAACAAATTGGTAGAAAAAGGAAGAATCTTGAGTTTTTTAAAGACTTTTTTGTTGTTGTTTGGGAACAATTCAGAGGTTTACAGTGGGGGAAATACAAAGAATGCAAAACTTACAAAGAATGCAACGATCTATAACTTTAATCATATGTACATTCTAACAGTGAAAGACAGAATCCCAAAGAAAATTCCAGAAAATCACATCATATGAATTTATAAAAATTGATAACCATCTGATGAGGAAAAATAAGCATTCTTT